GACCTAATGTCAGGGGTTTAAGTGGAGAGAAAATGTTTTGAGAATGATGTACAAATGCACTTTACACAATTGATGTGTGCATGGATTGCGATAACAGTTGTATGAGCCCCTAATAAAATGTTTAAATAAAAATTACAAACTCAGGGAACAAAGGAAAAAATGAGTCCCTTAAGAAGATTACCAGCACAACTCTGAGTCCTTGATTCTGATCAATAAGATTTATCGTAGTTCAAAATCTGTCCTTTTGTAACAGTCGAGAAATATGTTCCAATGACACTAATTGGAACTGAGTCACTTCCAGCACATAAAAACTATTATAGAGAAGTTAATTCTGAAAAAGTAACTGAAATGTGTCACATGCTTTTATCAAAGCCCACATTTAACAGTCAACTTCCTTAGACAGATTCTCAGTTACCAGATTATCACTGCAGAAAGTGATATCTGCAGCAAGATAAAAGCTACGAATTAAGGCAACAGCTCACTAAAAGTGAATGGAGACAGCCCGCCTATGTCAGAACAGACCTGGTCAGAGGCAACAGGGTGACTTTGGGGCTATCAACAGGCAAGACAACAATAAAACTCAGTATGTGAGGAATCAAAAGGATTTAAATCAACAAAGAGCAACAAAACTTTAATACATTGACAGTCTGGACTGCACCTTTCTGTCCAGTTTTACATCATTAAATACAAGTCACTTGCTTTTAAAAGATGCCATTTACTTTAGGGAGCTTACCTTATTGATGTAAAACTGTGACAGGGTAGCAGCATTAATAGCCCACTCCAGAGGACGGTAAGCATTGTGCTCAAGCTGGAGTTTGAGGGTACTGTGACAGTAACGAGCAGCCTTCTCAAACATCTCCATATGCTGGTAGACTTGAGCCAGGTAATATAAGATATGAGTATAAACCTTTTCAAACCTGTGAAAAAAACGAATGCTTGAATAACAGTTTATAATTTATAATCCTCTCACCAACCCTTGGACTTGAGTACTGGTATCTATTTACATATAAGGAAGCTGAGCCTCAAATTTGAACCAAGTGACATAGCTAACAGGTGGAGATTTTAATCAAGGTCAATTCAAATTTCATGCCTTTTTAAATACCTCAAAACAAAACAAAATTGTGCCTTAAGAAAATTATTTGGTGAAGGCTTACAGAGCAGATCGAGTTTTACATTCAATAGTTCATACACATTTTGCTTCAGCTTATTCACTGCATCCCCTCAGTGCAACGCCACTCATGCTCTCCCTGTTTCCCATCTCAGTGCCCCTTACCAAAGCTCTCTGCCATTCAGTCAATTCTGACCCTATAAGCCAGGAGACTGTTACATAACTCTTTATGGAAGTAGAAAGCCTGCCTTTCTCCCATGGACCTGGCAGGTGGTTTTGAACTACTGACCTTGTGGATCGCAGCCCAACATGTAACCGCTACACCAAGGGCTCCTTAATCTCTCTTAGAGACAAGTCCCTATTTTGTTAGCTGAAAATTGAGCCACTAGGGTGAGGGGGTGAGTTTGCTTCCAGACTGAAGGGTGACTAAGGGCCTTAGTCTTGGGGGTTCCACCAGTCTCTGGTCTCCTTTATGATTGTGAGTTTAGTTCCACTCTTTTCTCCCACTTTATCCAGGACCTTCTACATAGCGTGGTCCTTCTTTCAGAGAACATGTGCTTTGTGAGCGACCATCTTCTCTACCGCATGTAGGAACACCTGTAAAGGCTGACTTCAGCAGCTACGCACCTTTTTGATCTCTCCTGTTCTGTATGTTTCTCTTCTTCGGGGAGAAAATGCTCAGTAGGATCAAGAGGAGGACTCCCAATCTGCAATTGAATAACAAAGTGCTTTAAAAACTTTTAACTGTGAACTCCAAGCGCCCTCCTCTGGGGAAACGAGGGAAATCAACTTTGAAAGGCCAATACACTTTTTTTTTTTTTTTGGCTAATTGACTTTAATGTTACCCAAGAAGTACATTTCTTAACATAAAACCTGAAAGAAACAAATAAAAGATTTCCTATAAGTTCACACCTTACTAAATCTAAGCTGCTTCTTGGAGGATGGTCCTAGCTACAAGCCCACTGGGAGACCATCTGAATTCACTAAATTCCAAGTGGCAGCAATGCTGTTCTGAAAAACAGGTGACCTTTATTCTGCATACAAACCCTGAAACCACCACAGGACTGGGAAACCTCCAGAATTCACAGAATGTCAAAACCACAAAGGCAGGCAGCCAGGCCCAAAGCAAACCCAAGAGAGAACGCTTCAGAGACTGCAAACAATTCTGAGGGCTACTTAACATGCTTGTCCTTGGCTAGAGAAGGGAAAAATGATCAATGTATTATCTTACTTATTATCAGATGTAACTGTCAAATCAAAGTCATCTCTTAACTAAGATTAAAGTATAACAAAGGTACAAAGTTTTGTAATGTGTGCTGTTTCCTTATACAGAAAAATGTTTAGAAAGTTATAATCAATGATTACACATACACTGCATGCAATTTCCATGTACTGATGACTCTAATCTTTATCCTTTTAATGGTGAGAGCATATTCTGTTATTAGTCTACCAAAGCTTACTAACCATTCTTCAGTTATTGTATATGCATTTTTCCCACGACTTTTCATTAACTACTTTATGATCACAACATTTCTATACTGTCAAGAGAGATGAGGAGTGGGTGGCACAGAAAGTTTGAGTTCTCTCAAGTCAAGCAGTTAGTTAGAGATCACGGATCCTTAATGAAACTAGAATCTCAGGACTCTAGTCTACATAGTCAGTTATTTTTTTTCTCCTTTGTCTCTTTAGGAGCCCAGCTGTAGTGGTTATGCACTGGGCTGTTAACTACAAGGTCCGCAGTTTGAAACCAGCTGACCTGAGGGAAAAGACCAGGCTTTCTACTCCCATAAAGTGTTGCCGTCTCAGAAACCCATGGGGCAGTTCTGTTCTGTCCTAGAAGATGGCTATGAGTCAGAATTAACTCATAGGTAAAGCAGTTTGATATAGCTCTCCTTGACCCAAAACCACGCATCCATAGATATGCCCCATCCTCAGTGACTGACTCACTGACTCACTACAACAATGAGCTCAGCCACAACGTCACTGTGAGGATGGTGCCAGATCAGGCAGCGCTGCTTCCTTCTACTGCACTGGGGTCACGATGGGTCAGAATCAGCTTGAAGGCACTTACCAAAAAACTACAACAGAGAAACCAAAAACACTGAAGCAATTAAACATCTCCAACCCAACTATATTTTTAGTTGAAATTCTCCATTAAATTCAGTGTAATATAGTTTTATTATTTTTTGCATTTACCTTCACGTACAATAATTTCAGAAACTAAAAACTGTTCTAGAAGCGAGGGATACAGCAGTAAACAGAGTAACGAAACTGGCCTTGTCACCGTAAAGCTTATATTTTGGAAAAGAAGACAGCTATCAAACAAAATAAATCACTCAAATATACAACAGCTGGGTAATGTTAAGTGCTCAAGTGAACAATAAAACTGGAAATGGGACAGAAAGTGTTTGGGGGTGTTTGCTTCGGCAGCACATATACTAAAACTTGAACGATACAGAGAAGATTAGCATGGCTCCTGCGCAAGACTCGCAAATTCGAGAAGCATTCCATATTTTTACAGTCTGTCTGAGATAGTAGGCAGAGCACTTCCATCAGTACTGAGTCTGGAGGAAAGACTGAAGTCACCACCGCAGATGCTTAGATCAGCTATTTTAATAAATCGATTTATCTGTTGGTAAAAAAGGGTTTGGGGGCAGCAGGGGGGAAGGCAGTGGAAGCCAGTGCGCTGGATGGAAATACGAAACGTGAAGGAACAGCCTTGTGAATACCTGGGAAAAGAACATTCTATAAGCAGAGGAAATGGTTACGTGCAAAGACCCTGTGGTTTTTGCATATAATACAGCCACATAAATAATGTAGACATGACTATGGTGTACAAGGAAACTAGCATATGAGGGGGGCTGCACAAAGTTTGCAAAAGCCTGTAAAACTAATGCTTTGTGTACAACTACTGTGGGTGACTCTACGGCAAGAAGCGATCTGATTTACCCTGGACAGAGCTGAGAACCAGGTGATGCTGGCATGGCACCAGGAAGACAAACTGGAGGACAACTACGATATTTAATAAGAACAGCGACAGGCTGCTAGCAGGACAAAGCAATCTGTTTTGGAAGAAGTATGGCCAGAGAGCTCTAGAGGCCAGGATGGTGTGAGTGAGACTTCATCTTTTGGACCTGTCAGGAGAAGGACACCATGTTTGGTACAGTAGCGGGGCCCAGCCGTGAAAAAGAGGAGAGCCCTCAAGGAGGTGGATCGACACTGTGGCTGCAACAGTGGTGTGGCTGGCGCAAGACGGGCAGTGTTTTGATCTGTGGTGCATAAGGTCACTGAATCTATCCGACGGCACCTGACAGCCACCACCACGGGGACGTGAGTGGGAATCGAAGCAGTGTGACACTGGATATAATTTGAAGATGGGACCAATAGGAAGATGAGATAGTAGGGAGGAGTTCCCAAGGTTTTTAGCCTCAGAAGCTGGAAAAAAGAAGTTGCATTTACTGCAAGAAAAACTGGGGCAAGAAGGATTATCAAAAACTCTAATGGACGATAGTTTCAGAGATTTACACTCCATAAAAATTGCAAATGTCAAATCAGCAGATGAATCTGGACTCAGTGCCATCAGCATCGAGAAGGTATTTGTAACAAGAGAATGAGTATAATATATGGAAATGGAAGAGCGGTCTGAGCCTGAACTCTGGGTGCTGACCTGGACAGACAGGCGTTGCATCCAACACAAATAACGATAATTTCAAGAAATAGAATAGACCACCGAATTTGTTAGCTGCCACTGAGGCAGCCCCAATTCATGGTTTACTCTCATGTCATAATCCATAGGGGTTTTATTGGTTGATTTTTTAGATGTTGCCAGGACTTTCTACCTAGTCTATTTTAGTCTGAAAGCTCTACAGAAATCTGTTCAGCATCCTATCACCACCACATAAGCCTCCACTGGCAGCTGATGGCTGGGTGGTCGCTGTGCATGAGATACATTAACCAGGAACCAAATCAAGTTCTCTTGGATCAACTTACACCATCAAGTCGATTCTAACTCATAGGACAGGGTTGAACTGCCTCTGTGGGTTTCTGAAACTGTAACATTTTAAAAAAAGTTTTATTGGCATGTAATTCACAAATCACACAATTCAATAGTTCTTTCCCTTTAAAACATTTTCTTTGTGCTTGTACTCATCATTAGCCATTTCCCCCCAACCTTCCCTGCCATATCCCTAAAAAACCAGTAACTCAGTTACTGTGAGACTGTAATTTTTCTCTTTTTTGGAAGACTGTCTGAAAGTAAAAAGCCTCATCTTTCTCCTACAGAGTGGCTGGTAGTTTGGAACTGCTGATTTTGCAGTTAGCAGCCCAACACGTAACCATTCCATCATCAGGGCTCCACTGGATCACTGTCGCCAGGTTCACAGACCCAGAGATGTGCGTGCGCTGAGGTATGCTCTCTGGCTCACACATGCACTCAGCAACACAGAAATCATTAGTGAACTTAGACTAAGCATCGCCTCTGAACTCTGATTTTGAGAAACTTGGAAACCATGCTGGCTATTTAAAGGAATGCCTCAAAATAAAATGAACCAACTGATAATAGGTAAAAGTTGGTTAAGGAAACAGAAAGTCTATTAAGGAAATAGTTTATTAAGAGTGGTTTGTTAGAACTGCTATCTACCCACGAAGTAAGTGTTTTTTCAATCTGGGATCCCCGAAGCCCTGGAAGTTCCTACAGCACCCTTTTGATAAAGTTACTCTGCTTACAGTGGGAAGGGAGGAGGGGATCTATAGTGGGTTGGCCCTGGGTCTTTCTGACCTATTTAAGCAGAATAGTTCACTATGAGGTTTTCTGGTTACTGTTTTTTTCAGGGCGGGGGTGGTGGTGGTGGTATTGTTATTGCTTAGACTTAACTTCGGAAGGGTTTCTCAGAGGGGAAAAAACCATTGCCTTGAAGCAGTAGTTCACAAAGCCCCATCTGAGATCCTGCTGAAAATCCAAGTTCTGGGGCCCTACTCCAAAACTACTGAATCATGGAGGCTCAGCATCTTCCAGATAACTGATACATGCTAAAAAATATGAGAACCACTTCTTCAGAGAGTTCATGTATGGTCAAGTCATTTTTGTTTGCTTTACTTTAAGCTGGTGGTTCTCAACTTTCCTAATGCTGCGACCCTTTAATATAATCCCCCATGTTGTGGTGACCCCCACACCCATAAAATTATTTTCGTTGTTACTTCAGAACTGTAATTATATTACTGTTATGAATCGGGAGACCCCTGTGAAAGGGTCGTTCAACCACCAAAGGGGTCGCGACCCACAGGTTGAGAACTGCTGCTTTAAGCTCTGTATCCTCAGTGGAAACCAAATGGATTTTCTGTTACAAATGAAAATAAACAAACTTCACTATTCTAGGACACCATTAGAGTAATATTTCCTGTGTTCTTCTATTTGGACTCAGGTAGCCAGCAGATCTCATGCCCAAAATTATTTTGGAGCTCTCCCAGTGTCTTTCATGTACAATCATTTTAGGTATCAGTTGGCTTCTTGGACAGCTCAGCCGAGAGGGTCCTGGTTGACACAGAAGGAGAGCATTCTACCACTGAGCCACCAACTCTTCAGAGTAGTCACATCCACATGATGAATGAAAAAGTCTTGATTTGCTCTCATCAGAACCTTGCAAGTCTGGCTAGACCAGAGGCTGTACAGATAGGTACAGATAGGAACTGGAAATCCAGGGAATCCAGGGAGGATGAGCCCTACAGGACCAGTGGTGTGAGTGGGGATACTGGGAGGGTAGAGGGAGAGTGGGTTGGAAAGAGGGAACCGACTACAAGGAACTATATGTGACCTCCTCCCTGGGGGACGGACAACCGAAAAGTGGGTGAAGGGAGACGTCGGACAGGGCAAGATATGACAAAATAACAATTTATAAATTATCAAGGGCTCATGAGGGAGGGGAGAGCGGGGAGGGAGGGGAAAAATGAGGACCTAATGCCGCGGGCTTAAGTGGAGAGGAAATGCTTTGAGAATGATGAGGGCAATGAATGTACAAATGCGCTTTACACAATTGATATATGTATGGAATGTGATAAGAGTTGTATGAGCCCCTAATAAAATGATTAAAAAAAAAAAAGAACTTAACATTTATTGGACCCGCAGCATACCTCTTTCATGTACTGGTTATATAACGCTTCTGATGATTCTAGGTAAGCTTGTGCAGTTTCAATTTCTTCTCTTTCAGACCACAAGATACCCAGGTTATTCTGAAAAATAAAGAAAAGAGAAAATTATAGAAAACTTCCAGTTAAAGCAACTTTCACAGTTCTAATTTCAATATTTACTGGCCAGATAACAGTGGAATTTGATTATTAATAACGAAGTGATCATTCACAGTAAGATGTCGCAGTAGGTAGGCACTAAGATAGCCACCAGTGCGCCCTGCCTCCTCGGACTCATGCCCTCGTGGGATACTTTGCTCCACGAAATATCCATTTACGATAGAATGAGGTTGACCCTATTTTACATCAAATAAACAAAATTAATCACAGATCTAAATTTAAGAGCTAACGAATATCAATTGTTAGAGGAAAACATAGGGCCTCATCTTCAAAATCTTCAATTTGGCAACAGTTCCTTTAATGCGACACCAAAAGCAGAGGGAGAAGAGAAAAATAGCCAAGGTGGGTTTCACAGAACTGTGGGGTCTCTAAAGACATGATCAAGACAGTAAAAACACTTACCATGACAGAAAATATTTGCAAGCCATGCCTGACAGTGAATACATAAAATATTCTCAAAGTGCAAAAACAAAAAGACATGTGAGGCAATTTGAAAAGATTTGGATAGTTCTATCTCCAAAGAAGATACACAAATGACCACTGAGTATATGAAAAGATGCTCAATATTACTATCATTAGGGAAACGCGCATCAAAACCAACGCACACCCACTAACATTGGGTTGGGGAGGAAAGTAAGTGTTGGGGAGGATATGGACAATAAGGAATCTTCATCCATTGCGGGTGGGAATGTGAAGTGGGGCAACCACTGTGGAAAACAGTTTATTCCTCAAACTTAAACCAAAAATTACCGTAGGACCAGAAGTTCTATTCGGAGGTATACCAACAGGCTTCAAAAAGTTCATGGGGAAATTCCATTATCCTTCGATTTCATTTTTCCATGAATCTAACAAAGCCCCCTTATATATACCCCAAAGGCTTGAAAGCAGGGATGAAACTGAAACGTGTACAGCAATGATCACGGAGCATTACTCGCAATAGACAAAGGGGATGACAACCAAAACGTCCATCAACCGATAAATGGATAATGCATGCAATGGAGCACCACTGAGCCACGGGAACACTGAAGTCCTGGTATGTCACACACATGGATGACTCTCGAAAACATTATGCTGATTGAGCTATAAAAGGACAAATATTGAGTGTTATCATTTTTACTGTATCTAGAGTAGGCAAATTCAGAGACAAGTAGATTAGAGGTTAGCAGGGGCTAGTTGAAGGGAAAATGCAGTGTCATTGCTTAACAGACAAGAGGCTCTCTTCAGGGTGATGAAAATATTTTGAAAAAAGACGTTAGTGATGGTTGTACAACAATGAATATAATTAATGCCATTACATTATATATTTTTTAATTGTTCTAATGTGCCAGTAAACTGGACAAGTAGAAACTGTTCACTGGTGTACATTCTAGCATATTCTCATCAATAACATTAACAAATTTCTTTCTTTTAATTTTAATCCTATGAAGAGACATGCACGAGAAAATTTTGCAAATCACACACACTTGATAAGGCCCCTTGTATCCAGAATTTGTAAAGAAACTCTCAAAACTCCATAATAAAATAAAACAAAAATTAAAAAACAAAAACAAAGCTTTGAACAAACTTCACCAAGGGGGAAAACTGTACATTTTGTTAATAGGGAAAACCAGGAATCAAAGTACCATTTTTTCTAGAATATTGTCCTTGATCTCACCAGGCAAAAATGGTCTGCTACAGATAAACCCCTCAGGACTAATAATCAAAGTATTGATTCCAGGAGGGAAGGGGGAAAGGGGAAGGTTGCGGGGAGAAAGGGGGAACCGATCACAATGATCGCCATATAACTCCCTTCCAGGGGGATGAACAACAGAAACGTGGGTGAAGGGAGACAGCGGTTGGTGTAAGATATGAAAAAAAAAAAAATTAATAAATTATCAAGGGTTGAGAGAGGGTGGGGGAAGGCTGTAAAATGAGCTGATACTAAGAGCTCAAGTATAAAGAAATGTTTTGAAAATGATGGCAACATATGTAAAATGTGCTTGAAACAATGAAAGTATGGATTGTGGTAAGAGCTGCAAGAGCCCCCAATAAAATGATTTTTTTTTTTTTAAAAAGGCTTCCTCATGGTCTGCCTCAATAGTCAAGGCTCATCTCTCACCATCCAGGATTACCACTCCTCTCAACTACAGTCTAAACACCTTAAAATTAAATTAACATTCAGGCTGTTGATATCACCCAGTCTGATATATTTGCTTCAGTAAATATTAAAATATGTAAATGGTTGAACCTCTGGTATCTTTGGAAATGTCTTTTAAGGTGAAGTTTGTATTGAAGAAAGATGAATCTGAAATTTTTTGCTACATTTGGTAATTTGTCATTTGTTTCTTTTGTGTGCTCTAGAAGAATCCTGAATTCTGTTCAATAAAATTCTAGGCAACTTTTTCCCCTTCCCAAGGAAAAGATGGGTAAAATGGCAGATTTTGTTACACACACACATATAGATATATGCATTTTGTTATATATGTGCATATATCTATATGTGTGTGTATATTTCTTACTAGAAAAATAAGATAGAACATTTGGAGTAATAGAAAAGCCTGAGTAGAAGCTCCAGGCTTTCCTTTCAGTTGCCTTTTATGTGTGTTAACTGCCAGATAGCACTGCTTATTCAAAAATGTTATTAAAAAACAACAAAACACTTTAATTAGCCCTGCCCTTTGCTTTCAGTTTTTTGGCTTTTTTTCAATAGACTTTTTTTCTAAAGGTCTTTCATATGAAGTTGCGTAAAGTCTGAAATTGGACAAGCAGTTTGGGCAAAGATGAAAGGGAATGGAGTTCTCTATGTAAAGGTATGAAGAAGATTGGAAATGCATGCCAGGATTGCACTATCTGGATTCAAATATATACAGAGACACGCTTAATTTTTTTTTTTAAAGGTGCTTTATCGCATCTGCCTCGGGCCTCGGCAAGGAATGGAGTCATGCCGCTGCCTGGGTCTCTGCGGGGCTGTCGGGCCGGCAGCGGCCGGCCCGGCTCTCACCTGCGCCTGGAGGTAGAGAGAGACGCAGTCGTGCGAAAGCCGGTACTTGCGCAGCAGCCTCAGGCACTTCACCAGGTGCTCCTCGCCGGCCGACAGCTCCTCGGTGTCGATGTGGTTCACTCCCAGGTGGAATTCGATGACCGCCAGGCGCACCGCCCGCTGGGCGACGGGCCCTTCAGCCTCCACCACTTCGGCCGGCAGCCCCAGGGAGAGGTGCTCGGCGTCCAAGGCTTCGTCCGCCGGAGGCCGCTCGTCCTCATCCTCGGGCGCGGGGCCCAGCAGCGCCTTGACCTCTTCCAGCAGAGCTCGGGCGCTGTATTTGGACTTGTACGGCTCTTTCTCCGGGTTTTTATGCAACTCCACCTGCGACAGGGCCAGGGCGGCCTGGAACTTCTCACGGACCTCGGCCCACGGAACGCTCGCCATCGCAGCCGCTAGGCCGGGGTTTCATCAGGGGGATGCAGTCTGAAATCCCGCCTTCCTTCTGTTTTGCGACACTTCATTTGCGACCTTCCGCCGGCCGGGGCCGCCGCCGAAAGGGAACCAATGAAGTCGGCCTGGGGAACCTCGGTCGGCTGCCAAGTGACCAATGGGGAGGAGGGATGGGCGCCATAGCAACTGTTGTCACGAAAGTGAAGCGGTCAATGAGGGCGTCTCCACCTCCAACCCCACCCTCTGCAGTAGTAAATTCAAAGCTAGCTTCTCCTGAGGAGGCTAATTTCTCGAGGAGAAAAAAGGGTCTACTATTTTAAGGAAATATTTCAGAACATTGTTTACACAATTAACTAACTCTACTGGCGCTAATTCCCTAACCTGAAAGGTAAACATCTACTAGCCTTCGCGTTAAACTACCATCCAGTCGTTTTTGATTCGTAGTGAGCCTACAGCACAGAATTAAACCTTTTGGTTTCTGAAGCTGTAAATTCTCCCAGAAGCAGAAAGCCTCATCCTTCTCCTGCCTATTATTTAGTGGGTTCGAACTCCTAGTTTTGCAGTTAGTAACCAGCCTTAAGCCACTAGCCACCAGGGCTCCTAACATTAGTTTTATTGTCTGGTCCACCACTGGATGGAAAAATGCTCTGAAATGTAAATAGTCATTTACTATTACTATTTTCTCACGTGAAAGCCACAAATGTAAAAATCTGGTATTTTCACCGGAACTGGCGAGGTTGGCAGTCTGAACCCTGCCAGTGGAAAATGTGATGGAAGTCCTATGGGCAATAGGTAATCACTATGAGTTGGGGTGAATTTGTGGTAATGTGTTTGGTTGGCTTTATATGTGCTATTGTTTTTGGATTTTTACATTCCTATTATTTCCATGGTTTGGATCTCAAGCTATTTTCATTTTTGAAAACAAGACCCCCCAAAATGTAACTAGTAAATACTAATATCTTTATTTATAGCATAAACCTGTTATTTTATACATTAACAGTCAATTTTACAGTAAAGACAATGCATTTTATGTACAGTTGTAGAGGACACAGTGCGGGTAACTCCAACTTAAAAAGGGACTGTATTTTTTTAAAAGTTCATTCAATTGCTTGGAAAATAATTTGCTTTGTAGAAAATAGTAAAAATGTTAACATTTGCCAGCCTAGTTCATGTCCATTTAAATTGAGGAATGTTGAATTAAACAATATGCTTTGACTTCTAGAATCCAGAGAAATTTTGGCTTCACTTATAGCCATGTTCTTAAAATTAAGGTGCACAAGTGAAATCCTTGGAAACGTCCTTGTTATAATCTCTCCCCACACTTGCTTGACTTTTGTTCCCTTTTGGGGGTGCGGGGGTGGGGCGCTAGGCTAATCCACATCAAAGTTTTAGATGTCTATTCCTATAGGTTCGGTATCAGGCCCTCTTAACTGGCTTTAAAAAGTACTCACCCTACCTAATCATGAAATGATTTGGTTGTTTTAAAGCATGCCCAGTATTAGTACAAAAAAAATTAAAAATTCTAATAAATAATAATTCACAAGGTACTTGTATTGAATGAGCAAATACTTTCCCTCTAAATTCTTATGGGCTATGTGGGAGACCAAGAGGGATAGGGGTGGAAATGATAAAAACTGACAAGTGGTTCAAAGAACAAGTTCATAGAATTTCTGAGAACAGAATGCAAGAAATATGCAATCAAGATTGGAGGGTAGGGCAGGCCCAGAGGGCCGGGCGGGGAGGGGAAAAAAAGAATGGAGGATAGAAGTGATATCCAAATTGAAGGATGTTGTCTCAAAGGATAAAGAGTTCCTTTATCACAAAGTTAGATACAAAGATTGGGTTAAGTGATAGAAATCAGAACCTAGAAAGATTTTGTTTTCGATTTGTTTAAAATAAAGAAATTCTATTATAGTTTGTTCCTAAGACTCCCAGCACAAAATTTCTAGGAACTACAGGGGAAGAATCTCATCTTTCAAATCATTAAATTCCTGAACCATGGAACCCGAAAGCTTCCCAGAGAAATATTACGTGGGAACTAAGCCGGAGTTACTGGCCAGGGGTACATTGGGTGTTCCACTTCCCTCTTCTCAACAATGTAAACAACAAACATGGTTCTAGGCACAGGAACCAGACTTTTGAGAAATTAAATTGGGCCGTCATACCAGGCTCACTGTACTTAAAAACGATGTTCCATTAAGTACTGGCCATTAAAAGGATACCTTATCATACATTTTCACTTATTTTCAGATGTCCCCCAGTCTACATGCACTATCTGTGTAGTAAGAAATCACTGAAGAGGTATCCCCTTACATTGAAAAGCTTAAAATTGTATCAAATTGCACATCAAACTTAAGGCTTATGTCTCCATCAGTTCCCTTCCCACACATCATCCACCTCCACTCCGAGCATGTCATGGCATGTGTGACACAGATCCAGCAAAGTTTGAAATCCTGCTTTGAAACATTGGTCACTATATTGCCTCCTAAGACATCTTATAGAGCCACAGAAATAACTGTTTGTTATTGAAGAAAGCTTTGATTGCTCCAACGGAGTCTTTGGGGTTGCTGTAGTCCCTTGGACATTCACTTTAGAGGGCAGTCAAGAGACGTCTTTGAGCATAAAGAAAGGTCAGTTTACAAAGTCTGATACATGCTTGACAGTATTTTGTCATCCATAGACAACCCACTAGAATAAAAACATAATGAACTCATGTACCTTTTTTCAAAGAAGATACAGAAGTAGCAGTGAAGTTACAAATGATAAAGATCAGATGAAATAATGTAGACAAAGCACCTCCTCCTGAAGGAAATGGGGCCTGAGTAAATGGTACAAAAGAAGCACTGTGTGCTTTTACGGCTGTAGGAAAAACACCAGTTCAGTTCCATGTTGCCAAATACAGCTCATAGAAATCCTCTATTTCAAATTACCGCCCGAAGGCTTTACTGAAGCTCCGCTTCTGGCCTGTGCTTTGGAATCTGTTATTTCGGTTGCCTCCGCCTCCACCTCCACCTCCTCCAGACCGCTGTCCTCGGAAGCCGCCTCGGCTTCCATCCCGCTTTCCTCTGAAGCCACCTCTGCTTCCGTCCCGCTGTCCCCTGAAACCACGATTGCCTTCCCTTGGCCCCCTGGGGCCTCGGTATCCCTCCCTCGGTCCTTCCAGCTCTGGTTGCTCGGTGGCCACGGAGAGCTGCCAGCGCCGTGAGTCATGCCATTTTTCCTGTTGAGAGAGTTTTATTTGCGTCAAAGTGTGGCATTTCAGAAAAGACTTGAGTAAGACAAGATTTGGGACTTTTCTTCAAAGAAACACCAAAGTGAAAAGGCCAGTGCTAGGCTAAAGTTTCACTGCCCTTCATAGCTCGTTTCAGTGAGAAGGAGCGCCACTGCTCCCTTCCGTGGTCATTCTAACTGCTACAGGGCATGCATGACTGCCGCGGAGGCAGTACGGCAGACTCACCAGACAGAGTTCTCATCAACTTAAACTATCTCTGGGAAAACTTTATAATTTAAGTGTACAGGAGAAAGAGGAGGTAGATTTTGTTTGACTTAGCAGAAGGGAAATAAAAAGGGGAAGTGGGCTGGCACAACACCATGAAGACAGGATAAAAGGACAAGAAGAAAAACATAAACTTGAATTTTCAACTGTCTTTGAGTAATGCCACCAGTGCTGTTGTTCGCCATTCTATTCTATATTTGGCATCATACACAGTTTATCATTTGCTTTCAAAATTCAAGAGGAAAAAAGATACCTGTATTTCAGTTATGGCTGCAGTAGGAACATCAAAGCAAACACCCTAGAAATCAAAGCAAATGAAAGTTAATCCAACCTTTGACTGGAATGATAAAATGTGTATTAAGTGACATGACAAAAGGTCAGTTATTATGTATGAAAAAACTGCCATGAAGCCAATTCAACCTCAGGGTTGCTCAGACTAAAGCTTCGTGAAGCAGACAGCTTTACCCCTCCTACTAAAAAGCAGTTGGTGGGTATGAACCACTGACCTTGAAGTTAGCCAGTGCTTAATTCACCAGGCCACTAGGGCTCCTTGTGCCAAAAACACACCCCACCAGGTTCAAATCGTAGCCCAGGGCCATTACATTATACCTCCTAAATGCCTAACAGTTGGAAGCCAAGGAACATTTAAAAAGAAAAGCCCAACCTCCAAAAACTCAGAGGCAAAATGTGCTAATCCTTAGGTAGCACCTTCCACTGTTAATGTTCTAGTTTGGGGTTCCTCTGGTTGTTGGTTTTTGTTTTTGTTTTGTTTTTTTCCATAATTTACCCGGTGAAAGCTTGAAGAAAATTAAATATGCAAGGTGCCACCCGGGGTCCCAGCCTTACCAGCTTTCCTTTGAGGAAGACCATGCCCTTCACCTTGGAATCCATTTCTTCACCCAGCTGCTCTTTAAGCTCTTTCCAAGCATAGCTGATGTTGGACATTTCAATTGAGCACTTCAAGATCATGGTCACAAAGCCCTTATGGAAGAAAGGAAAAAAAGTTGAAGTTGGAAAGATAAACCTAATCAATGAACACTTCCCCTCATATTTTTAAGACAAGTTCTTCCAGAAAGCATGCATACCTATACACACACGTACACACCCACAGGTTAAGTAAAATGAAGGGGGACACTTTCATTCCACCCTCCACTCAGTCCGTCCCTGGTAATTAATCTATCTTTCTCTGGAATTATGTGCATAGGTGTGTGGTTAAACATGGAAATATACATTCAATACACCTTCCTACTGTCATAAGAAAGTTAAAATAGAACTCTTTCAAATTCTTGCTCAAACTCCAACTAAACTGTCAGGAATTTGACAAGAAGCCTTACCGCATCCGAGTTGAGCATGGAGCGCTGGTCTACCGCTGTGGCACCTGAGATATGGGCCAGGGCAGCTGCCAGGGCTTCTACAGCGCCTTTCTCCTCTATCAGTTTCTCAGCCGACTGCTTGAAGTGACTGATGGCGGTAGGAGGCACCGAATCCAAATACCTACGGTGTGATTCAGCACGTTAGAAACAGAATGGGAAAAGAGGGCAAGCTTCAATTCCAAGAAAACAGGCTGCGCAAGAAATCACTAACTTTTCTCAAACTTTCATTAGGTAACCATCACCTCATGTCAATGAAAGGCTTATAACATTCTTAAATTCGTTTTTAATTCTAATTTATACCACACATCCATATGTGGTGTAACACAATTTTTAAAAATCATAAGGGCACTACAAAAAGTTCCTGGAAAATTGAATGAAAAGATGAAGGAATTTCCCCACAAACATTTTAAGGTCCCCTCACACTTATCACACACTTATTCTACTTATAGATGTAGGCTTTCAGTATACATACCAATATAATTGTCTCACGTGACATAGTTACATTTTCTTTTTAACAGCTTTCAGTGTTCTGCGGTTTTCCATTATATGCGTGTGCTATAGGTTTTGAATCAGAGACTATCACAACTATTTCCATTTTGAAATTAAAAGGTTCCAAAAAGCAAGGTAAACTATAGCAACCTTTATGAGACTGTTCATAAATTTCCGTCCACTACAAGAGCGAGCCTCTAATACACCCCCAGCACCTCATCCCTTCTGGCCTTCTAGCCCCCATATTTTTCATAGTTGGTGTCCTAGGGACCTCTGTCGGCACAATACTGAAAGTATCTCGTCCTAAGAGAAATCTTAAAAGCATTATTAAAGGGCCTTTCAATTGTAGAACTTTCTAGTGCTACTGACTATGTCAATATCCAGTTCTTTTGATCATGGACTCTCGCAACTGTTTTCATGTTTACATTCTTGTTTTGACTTTCTTCTTCTTTTTTTCCTTTCTGAAGAGGGTGGGTGTCTCTGCAAGGCCCCTTCCTATCTGAAGAGAGACCAGGTGCCCGAATACAAGTAGAGACTGGAGCATCTACAAGGGCCTGACAGCAGTTAACAAAACAAAGGGCCTCCCAACACAGATCCTTGAGATGTCTGCATCTCCCTCTCAGGATCCATTCTCACGGCGAGGGAACTGACTTCAGTTGACACAGGTTCTTTTCCTTAGGGAAAAAATAATTATATATTTTTAAGCTGCACATTGTGTAACCAAAGGCCTGGTCTGGTAGTTAAAGGAAGGTCCCATCTGGCCAGGGCTGCCCTCCCACCAGAGATAGGCAAGGGGGTAGCGTTGAAGGACAGCTGCCTCCCCCACTGCTCCCTGCCAGCTCCACAGCTGTCAATCCCAGACCTGCCTGCTGTCACTGATGTCAAGTCCAGGGCAAGAGGGGACAGGGGACACCTAGAACATAAGCTTATGTAAAATAAGGCCAGGGCTGGGGCCAAGATGTGGGAGGCCAGAGGCGGCACTATGTGTATAAATTGTGTGATTCCATAGTAATTAGGGTTGTGACGGATCCAGGCTTATCCAGTATAGGGGTCCATGCCACCTCTGGTGCAGGACGGTGACTGGTCTTCATTTGGTTTCCTAGTGCTGCCTTCAGGGCCTAGCCCTCATAGTAAATGGTGTTGGTGGGAATGGATACAGGTGAGGCCATCGAGACGGTGAGGGGGGCCCATGGTGAACTGGCTGCTGACTGCAGAGGGCACACCAGAGGACCCTTGAAAAACCTCAAAGTAATTATGGAGCCCATCCGAGAGTGGGTTTGATGGACAAGTCTGTCTGTCAGCTAAGGGATCAGTGTTGTGGCCTACGCTGGAGTCACCAGCAGAAACATTCTTCATGTCACAGGGGATCAGCATCCAACTATAGCCATCCCCTCGCTGAGATTGTAGGTACTGCCCACGTTGCACATGTTCCCTGAGGGAGACGCGAGGAAGCCAGGTGGGGGCTGGATCTGGAGCCCATCTGATTTGCCTGGGCCACCATACTGCTGTCATAGCTGTCTTCCATTGGTAATAGGCAGACATGTTCTGAGTGTGTCCCTGGCCTTGGGGGAGAGTGGTGAGTGGAACAGACACCCTACCTGGTACCAGTGGGTCCGGGACTCCATTGGTGCCGTGAACAGCTAACAGTCACGGAGCTGATGAAAGCAACATCAAACCAGAAAGCCAGACCATAAACCAGCCTTGAATGCAGCATGTGGAATTTGAATGGGATTTCTACCTCATGCAAATCTCCTTTTGCTTCTAAGAATTCACTGTGTACTTGATAGACTTGGCCATCGGGATCAATGTCAATGTGTCCACAATGGCACCTCAGAGGACTGACAGGTCCACTCCATGGAAGGATGGCTAGTATCAGAAGTTGGGCTGGGTTAACTAACTGCTCCATATGTGACAGAATTACGAGGTGGGTACCAATTGCGGAAACGTGTTTCTGCCGAGCCTCAGGTCCTTCGTGGTCTAGAGGGAGTGGTCTAGCATGCTAGCACAAGCTCACTGAAGAACACTCAGACCTGGGCTTCTGAGAGGAGGTTGCTGCTCTTCACCACGACCTCTATGCGCTGGGCCATGGTGCTGGCCTCCACCGTGTAGATCTACTACACTCCAGCTCAGGCAGTGACAACTGGAAAGATCCCAGAGTCCCAACCGACGACGAGAATGATCTTGGCCTTAGAGTCAGCGTGGTTCTGTAGGATGACGTGCTGGTAGGTGCCTGTCTGCATGTGGTCCTGCATCGGGGGCTGCTGCTGTGCCAGGTAACCATAAAATTGCAAGTACTGCACAACCAAGGTCTCCGGCACCCACTCGCTGATCATGGCACGCGCCAGGGTGTGGCCCCAGCAGGTCTTCAGAATGTTGTAGAAGGAACAGAAATTACTGGGCACACTGAACTGCATGAGGAAGCGGTTGCATTCCAGGGTGATGACGACGGACTGCTAGCCCATGCAGCTGCACTCTGTCCCCTGGACACCGCAAACTTAAACACCCGTCTTCAAGGGTGCCCAGCCGGTGTGCACCAAGGCAGTGCCTGCTGCTCCACGTGCCACTGGATCTCACCGTTCTTGTTGCCAACAGTGAAGAGAAGTTGGCCCCTAGGGAATATGACCACAGCTACTTGGGCCCCCATGCCGCCTGGGCCTGCCACCCCCGTGCCTACACCCCATGTAATGTAAGCCAAGGCCCTTCCTTCCCACTTTAAAACAAGCATTTCACATATCTGTAATAGGAATGGGGCCCTGGTGGCGTAATGATGACCTTTTGGGCTGCTAACCATAAAGTTTGCAGTTCGAGCCCACCAGGTGTTCCAAGGAACCCAGGTGGCTTTCTGCTCCTGCAAAGACTGAGAGCTTTGGGAACCCTAAATATCAGTTCCACTCTGTCCTATAGGGCTGCTATGAGTCGGGTCGATTGAATGGCAGTGGGTAAGTAACCCAAGGAAACACCAAAATAACTGCCATCGAGTTGATGCTGAGTCAAAGCATGGTCAGCAACTCAAAACCAGCAGCAGCTCTGTGGTAGAGAGACTACTCCCATAAAGTTTCAGCCTCAAAAATGCGCAGGGGTCGCCACGCGTCAGCAGACTGGCCGGCATTGCGTACAGGACCCTGTGAGTTTCCGAGACTAACTGTTGACAGAAACAGAAAGCCCCATCTTTCTCCCTTGGAGCAGCCGGTGGTTTCAAGCTGCTGACCTTACAGATGGACCACTGTGCCACCAGGGTAACCGTAATTGTGAAAAGCCCCCAACAAATTCAGTAGTTAAAAGTGGATGAAGGGAGACGTCAGACAGGGCAAGAATTGACAAAACAGTAATTTACAAATTATTAAGAGTTCATGAGGGAGGAGAAAAAATAAGGAGCTGATGCCAGGAGCTTTGGTGGAGAGCAAATGTTTTGAGAATGATGAGGTCAATGAATGTACAAATGTGCTTGACACAATTGATGTATTATGGATTGTGATAAGAGTTGTATGAGCCCTTAATAAAGCGATTAAAAAAAAAAGAAACAGAGAGAGAAGAGAAGAGCTGTGTGTGGAAGCCTTACAAGATCCTTGGAAGCTGCAGGGCACGTGTTAGGGTTGCTAACCAGGTCAGTAACCCTTCTGTTTGTCGGACAGACAGCATCTTAGAACCACGACACATCTTGCTCCAGTGTCAGTTATGTTCCCATGGAAACGACTATTAACTTCATCCTGATCATGTAGCTGTTTACTACACACTAGGAAATTAGAATTTAAGGAAATGATCAATGCGCATTTCTATCAAGTGGGGGTCAGGAGTAGTGAAATCTGAAATTAATGTGTGGTCCAACCTATCCAACCTCTAGGCGAGAAGCACCCACATCTTATCAAAGAAAGGCGCACACTACCATTGAGTCCATTCTGATTCCTAGTGAGCCTCCCAAATTTATTCGGCCTACCACCCCCTTTTTCAGAAAAGTTACTCTGCTGCCCCCTGGCAATGACCAATTTATACTACAGCCCATAACCCAGGATAAAGTGTAGGCATCTGCTTTTGCAGTCCCCCTAGACCAGTGGTTCTCAACCTGTGTGTCGTGACCCCTTTGGGGGTCGCACAATTCATAACAGTAGCAAAATTAGTTATGAAGTAGCAATGAAAACAATTTTATGGTTGGGGCGGGTCACCACAACATGAGGAACCGTATTAAAGGGTCATGGTATTAGGAAGGTTGAGAACCACTGCTATAAAGCTTTCTATTTCTCTGAGATTGTAAATTGTTAGGGAAACAGACAGCCTCCTCTTTCTCCTTCAGAGTGGCTGGTGGGTTTGATCCATTGACTTTGTGGTTAGCAGATAAATGCCTAACCTGCAGTGCCACCAGGTCTCCTTATTCCTTAAAATGTCTAAGATATATCACCAGACTATTAATAGCTGCTCTGGCAGAGAAGAGAATTGGGCAAGGATAAGCAGAAAAGAGGATCTTCACTGTTTAAAGTTATACTTCAGCAAAACTGGAATGGTTTTATAACAAGCTATACAGTGTCTTAAAAAACCATAAAATTTAAAAGCTCAAGCCTCACAAGTACTGCACAAAGAAAAGGCCCTCAAAACAGGTGGCAGGGACCTACCTGATGGCATCTTTGCTGGAAGCTTTTATGATTTCTGTTGCAGACGGCACACCTATTCGTTTAAATTTAATTCCCTACAAAAAAATGAAACACTTTAATGTATAATTTCCCTTGAGATTAGTAGTCCATTGAATCTTTTTGCTCTCTACCAAATGAATCTGCTTAACTTTCAATTTTAGAACTTTACATTTACAGAAAAGTTGTAAAACATAACAGGGATTCTAACATTTTACACTACTACAGTGCACTGGTCACAATTGAGAAACCAACACTATTAATGACCACACAGTAGACCTTACTAGTATACCCACTAATGTCTTCTGCAGTTCCAGGATCTGAAGATTACATCCATGCCCACCATAGCACATGTCATCATTCTGACACCTTAAGCTCTGTTTGGCTAGGGCAGCTTGTCTTTCCTTGTTTTTCATAACCGTCAGTTTTAAGAAGTTCTGGTCAGGCATTTTGTACCACACCCTTCAATTTGAGGTTGTCTTGATTAGCTTTGCAAGGTTACACTAGATTTATGGGCAGGGATGGATTATCCAATAAACAAGGTAAGAAAAGATGTGGTGAAAACAACATGGAATTGTTCACTACAGATTATGCTTGTGTGCTAATGAAGACCGTGCTTACTGAATACTTTGCTCCTGTCGGGTATTGTGATGGGGTTGGGTGAGAGATGACATCATAGCTAGAAGCAGAATCTGATGTGGTGGAAAATGTGGAATTTCACAATACTTATAAATATCATGCTTGTCAAGGATTTCATTTTACTTGAATCCACAATCAATGCTCACAGAAGCAGTTTTATAATCAAGCAGCATGCTGCATTGGGTAAATCTGGTGCACATGACCTCTTCAATGTGTGAAAAGATGTTTCTCGGAGGGCTAAGGTGCACCTGGATTCAAGCCATAGCATTTTCAATTATCTCACCTGTACGTGAAAACTGAGCAATCAATAAGAAAGCTGGAAAAGAATTGATGCATTTGAATTATGGGGACGAAGAATAACGAAAATTGCATGGACGGCCAGCAGAACAAACAGATCTGTGTCTTGGACGTGTTATCAGAATGCTTTTTAGACGCATGAAAGCTAAGGCTTCATGTCAAGTACTTTGGACCTGGTATCAGGAAAAACCAGTCCCTGGAAAAAGATATTATGCTAGGTAGAGGGTCAGCAAAATAGAGGAAGACCCTGAAGATGGATTGACACAGTGGCTACAACAATGGGCTCACACGTAACTGCCCGTAAGGATAGGCCAGAATCGGGCCGGGTTCCAGTGTTGTACAGAATGGCTATGACCTGGCTAAGGAGAATATACTCGTTTCTCAAACCCCACCCCGTACGACACTGTACGAGCAAGCCTATATAGCATGGAGGGAGGGGAGCAGTGGAGAGCCAAGCTACATCTGGAGACAACATAAACATAAATTATTTGGAATTCATCTATACGCTTAAATTGCTTCTCCCCCACTGATTTATAGATATGAAGCATTTCTTTTGTATTTTTAACACACTTTCAGACACTGCTACATGCTAGGAATAAAAACTAAAGATGTAACAGAAACCAAATAAAGGTTTGACTTTAGAACTCAACATGTGAATGAAAGCTAAGGCAGTTTACCGCTTTCTGTTCCACTTGTACCAGCTGATATTCTTCCTTGTACTGATAAAAACAGATACAAACTCCTGTCCTCCCAGCTCTGCCCGTGCGCCCAGAACGATGAATGTAGGACTCCACATCCTATGGAAGCAAAATGTGCACGGGACAATGAGGACAAGACAAGCCCGAGCGGTCTACTCTGCTAATTCGTGATTATGGACCTGAAGGGGGAGTATTCGTATCTTTAAGAGTTTAAAGAACAAACAAACAAAAAGAGTTTAAAGAACTATGATAAATAATTTTGCAGAATTCTCTATAACAGTGGTCTCTACATAGTTTTTAGCAGTGCTACTCCAAGACAGCCATGTATGTAACTGACATGTCAATGTTATCAACATAATAAGGCATCAATGAGGTATTTTACATTTTTATATTAAGTCTCAACATGTACAGCCCTCCAGGACTTGCCTTGATCCAAAAGTAACTTTCCAACACCTCCATTCAACTGTTAGTTCTGAGGGGAAGGCCTCATAACCGGATCATTTTTCTTTTCCTAAGTTTTACTTATATCGTGGCTGGTGGTGAGATGATACACAGAAAAGCACACCAATTCAACCATCTGAACATGCACAATTTAGTGACACTGAACCATTCTTAAGCTGCTCTCCTGAGTCCTCCTACCTAATTAGCATAAATTCACCTTTAAGGGTCTTACCTAATCTTTCAAGGTTCTACTGTCAATTTGATCCCATCTAGGTTGCTAATGCTCAAGGTTGGCCTTTTTAAAACTAGTTAAGTCAAATTATTGTTCAGTTTTAAGAGGACTTCGGGGGCTATTTCCAGTTTAAGGTTAAAATTGATCTCGGGGTACTAGTTTCAGGGGTTCATCCACACTCCAGAAAGTCCATGAAAATTTAAAATTCTGTCCCCCCATGAGTAACATGAAATTTTTGCTCAAGATATTCAATAATGGTTTCTAGTTCTTCTGGTCTCGTGGCAAAGGATACCAACAGCCATACAACCTCGTCCTGGTCTCTTTCCTCTATTGCTCCACAAGAATACAAACCCACTATGCCTTGGATGGCCATGTGGAAGCTTTGAAGACCCCCTATGCCTTGGATGGCCACGTGCAAGCTTTGGAGACCCCCAGGCACTATGATATAAAGCTGGAGGGAGAGCAGAAAGCTCTAAACAGGCTATTAGACTAATTAACTGAGCTATGTCATTAAACCACAATCCCCAAATGTACAAACCAAGGAATCAAATTCCTTCAGGGGGGTTTGGTTGTACATACGAAACCTCAGCAGCTACATATTTCCTCTACCACTTTTGCCAGTTCAGCTTGTTACAGTAGTAGGTGGGCAACTTACTGAAGGCAAGCACGATAATCTGTCACGCACAACTACACTTGCCCTTTCTAGTCTTTGTTTATCAGTGAGGTCACACATGGCATTCCAGAACTAGTCGTTACTGCTATGAAAAGTTGAGGCGCTCTGGTAGCATACTGTGGTTTGAAACCACCAGCTCTCCATGGGAGATAAACGAGACTCTCTACTCCCATAAAGAATTCCAGTCTCGGAAACCCACAGGGGCAGTTCTACCCTGTCCTGTAGTGTCGCTATGAGTCACGATTCACTTGGCAGCAGTGAGTAGGACATGATAAGACATCTATTTTGCCATTACTATTCACAAGAAACAAAAGTATAAAACACACACCTTTGGTGGAGAGCTTTGTATGACCAGATCAACCTCAGGGATATCTAACCCACGTGCAGCAACATTGGTTGCCACCAAAACACCAAAATCACCATTTCGAAAACCTTTCAAGGTGATCTCCCTTTGCTTCTGTGGAATATCTCCGTGCAATGACTGGGCATCCTGCCAAAGAGAGAAAGCAGCATCAGAATACCAGACCCAACATTACAGGGAACATAGTTAGGCCTTCAGAAGACGCTCACAATCTGGTAATGCACCCACTGGACCAAGGAACTAAAATGCACCCACTTCAAACCCGTTTTCAGATCCTCATTCCCTAAAAGGAGCAGCCGTATCCCTGGAGAGGCACCGGTGGCATAGGGGCCGCTGCGTTGTTAACCACAGGTCAGCAGCTGGAAAACCCCCAGCCACTCCGAGAGAGAAAGAGGAGGCTTTCTACGCCCAACAAGCGTTTCAGTCTCTGAAACCCCTGTCCTTAAGGGCCACTAGGAGCTGAAATGGACTCAATGGCACCGAGTTTGGTTTTTTGTAGTGTTTAGCCAGCTCTGCAGCAGACCAATGTTAAATACAAGACATCTGCGGTCTTGGTAAGCTGGGATCTACGCCACCCTTTTCCTAATCTGTAGGATGAGATGGGCAGATTTGATGAGTTCTCACATGGACACTCTGACGATTAAGCAGGAGTCCCCCTAGTTCCAATCAAAATTATACTGAAATGACTGCGTGAAAGAAAAACCACCCAAGGCAAATATGCTCGGGTGACAATTTGTTGATCACAGCCAGTTCTGAGGGCACGAAGGGAAGAACCCACCTGCTTCATGGATGTGTTCTGCGACAGTTCCTGGGCCTCCTTCTTGGTCTCACAGAAGATGATGGTGCGCCCCTGGTAACCACTGTACACCCGGATCACGTCCCCAATGACTGCTGCCCGGTGGGTCCAGTGGCACTTGATAGCCAGATGCTGAGAAGAGGAAAAGACAACCACCAGTAAAGCCTTGTGAGAGCCTGCTCAACACTAGCGGTCTACTCATATCTTTGGCACTGGACACTCAAGTGTAGCGGACTCGTGCCACCACTGTTCAGAGGAAAAAGAATTAAGCCATTGAAGCAGAGAGTAACATGATTTGTCCTTCTACACCTCCTCCTGTCTCCACAGAACATTTGGCTTATCTAGTTTCTGACAGCCAGGGAAACAAAGAATACGACTACTGTTTCCTAGACTGCTAATGGAAACAAAGTAACAGGAAACTTTATGTTGCCCTTTCCCCTCCTCATCCTCCAGGACCTGTATGTAGCAGACCTGAAGATGAAGCGTTTTCAACATGAAGTTCTCTGCTGCCCCCTAGTGCTTATACTTTTAGTGTAACTTTTACGTAATTCAGATATTAAGACTCTGAAATTATCAGACTACCCGAGTAGCAATTCAGAAAACAGGTAATATATACAACTTGAAATGCATCTTTATTAGGCTTTTCATGTGGATTTCATATTAACCTGGAAAAGTTTGTACTTTCAAAGCTTAATATTAGCAGACAGTAAAAAATAGCTTGTTACTAGTTCCAGCAACTAAATGAATCATTTACCTCCACAGTTATTGCCGTTTTCTGAGTCTTTTTACCAATCAGGTCCACCTGCTCATATGTAGGTTTCATGTATTTCTTAGCAACATTAAATACCCAATGAGGGCAAGTTGCCGAAAAAAGCAATGTTTGGGGATTGTCTTCCGAATCTTAGAGGGGAAAAAAAAGGTAACATGAGTAACCCACGCAAGTCTACATATTATTTCCTCGGTGCCTGGGTCCATCCTGCCCACAGCAGCTGCTGGAGGCCAGGCTTGGAGCCAGGCAGCGAGGACTCTAAGTGAGAGACACAATTTTCCCATTGGGCAAACAGAAGAATATTGCCAAATAGGTCCTAAAATCCCAACGGTGTTTAAAATGTATAGCTTCCTGACCAATGGCCTTGGTGAACCACAAGGGAAGCCTGTTCCCTGAGAATTACCACCAGTTCATTAAGTCCTGTAACCAACCAATATATTTTCTAAAATTACTGCCGAGTCCATTCTGACTCAGCAGGACCCTATGCAGGCTCAGGAGGAATGCCCCAGGAGCTCGCCCTTAGAGCAGCCCAATGTGCCATCGGCACCACCACCAGGGCTTCTAACCAGGACGTATCCCCCAGCAAATGCCAGTCATAAACTCCAGAACAGACTCGATATGGCCCCGCCTTTCTTCAATATTTTGTGATCTTAGAATTCCAATCTAATCATTATTCAGTTATCAAAAAGCTCCTCCTCCCATTTTTTTATCTGCTTGAGTGGGAATGCATTCCCGGATCGTGCAAATAGCAGGATAAGCTGGAGGAATCCTTTTGGAAAAATACACAAGAGTACATACAGTAAGCTGATGAAAACATAGAATGTTTTATTTTCCTTTCTTAATCTTCCCCCCACTGTAATTATGAGGCGATTTTTCATTAATTCTTGCTTTCCTGAATACAAAGTCCCTCTCTGTTGCCTGAGGCTAACTGTCAGAAAACTACCCTACCCTTCCTTCCTAGTTCCTCGAGTTGAACTTTACCTTTCTTGTACGCCACACATAAAATCTCTTCCACTTGATCAGCAAAACCCATATCCAACATCTGGTCCACTTCATCCAGGACAACATGCTTCAGTTTGGTGAGGTCTAGCTTGCCATTCTGTAGGTGGTCTTTGATACGACCCGGCGTCCCCACCAGAATGTCAATCCCATTCCGCATGCGGTCCACTATGAAGAACACCAATGGTTAAGATTTGCTGGGTTTTAAATAGTAATTTTTTTATTAGCCTTGGGTACAAATTAAATGCATTTTTGGCCCCACGGATATTTAAAAAACAACTAGCAAAATGAAGACCTAATGTCGGGGGTTTAAGTGGAGAGAAAATGTTTTGAGAATGATGTACAAATGCGCTTTACACAACTGATGTGTGTATGGATTGCGATAACAGTTGTATGAGCCCCTAATAAAATGGTTTTTTTTTTAAATTAAAAAAAACCAAAAAACTAGCAGTGCAAGACCAATGCCCAAGTTAAGACACAGAGGTTCAGTGGGCATCAAATCTAGTGGGGACACATGTCAGAAATGACAATGCTGTGCCTTAAGTTCAATCAGAGAAAAATACACTGGGAAGCGACAGCAGCAGCAAACAGTGCCTTCCTTGGCTGGGGAAAACTGTCGAGATTTCCCAAAGGGAAATTAGAAACTTTCTGGGAAAAGTGAGCAGATATAGAGGAGGGGTCGGGATGGAAGGGCAAGTATTCTAAGATGGCTTTTATATAAACAAAGCCCAACAAACTAGGTGGAGAAGCACTAGCCTCTCAGTGAGTAACCGAGAGACTCCCCAAGAAAGTACAGGTGTGGATGAGCTTGGGCTGTCAGGAAAGTGGGGCTTAATACAAGTAAGATAACAATGCGTCTTTGAAGGGTGCATCACTGAACTCTTGGGATACTAGGCCCTTTACATGCCTTTCCCTCACAGCACCCTGAGGGGCCGGTTTATCAACCTCCTATAGCTAAGCGCAGAAAAAGAAAACTTAGGCTACTGAAAAAAACTGACGCGCTCTGACAATGGAGGCATCTGCCTTCCCTCACTTGGGATTTACTCACATTGACCTCCATAGGGAGTTCCACCGTAGAAACAGGCCACGGCCAGCTTTCTTGTGATGTCGCTGAAGTCTCTGCTCACTTGATTTGCCAACTCCCTTGTCGGAGCAAGAACCAGCACCTGAAAGGGAAAATCCATAGCACCGTGTGGTATCTGGGTTTTTAAAGAACATTTGTAACTAAACAGAAGGCCCACTGATGCTTACTAGCATCCCCAAGTATAACAGCTACTATGTGCCGTGCGTGTCTGGAAGCACCATGCATTTAATATGATTTCCAACAAACCTACCCAGAAAAGCCTGTAACCTACCAGGCACCTAAAGAAGTCAGGCACCTAAAGGCATGGTGCTGCTGAAGGTGGGCTGGAGCCCCCTGGGAAAAACTAGGTGTTTCATGCTGGTCCCTAAAAAACAGCACACCAAGAAAAGAGCAACATGCCCTAAAAGTAACACTGACAACTGCTAATGCCTGGTCTGGAAAAACCGGAAGAATTCTCTTAATAAAATAGACAGTACTAAAAAAATTTATCATAAAAACCTTTCAGGGTGGGTATGAGAGGATAAATAACTTACCTAAATAAATAAATAAATACACAGCTATGAAGAGGTAGAGCCGAGATTCAAACACAGTCAGTCAGGTTCTATTAAGACCGTCGTAACCTCTTTACAATCTCATGCATTCATCCAACAGACACTGAACATCTACCCCGTCCTAATGCGTGAGGTACCAGGGACATGAAAGTACGAACAATTTCATGATGGGGAAGACTGGACACTGGAAAGCCCATGAGCAAGTGAGGGCTTGAAGCCAGAAACAAAAGGCATGTGTGAAGCTCACAGCAAAGGTAAGAACACAGGGAAATAGGTTATTTAGCCTACTACCCCCTTTTACAGGGGGAGGGGGAGCAGCACTCCCTACCGCTGCCATTTAAAAATGTTTGGACTCTAGTACATGATCCGGGATAAAGTGGCACCACCTGCTTTTGCAGCCCTTGAATTGTTCCAGCGCATCCCAGGGCGAACAATGGTTAGAATCAGACCTAGACCTCCTGGTATTCACTGAGGTGAAGGTTTGTCACACACCAGTTCTCCACCAATGAGGCCAACAAGCGCCATCCAGGTGAGGGGCCTGACCTCTTCCTCTGTGAGTGCCTCTGTTATAGTCCAGTTTCTCTACAATAAAAAACTCCCCCAAATGGTCAAGAACACTTGACCAAATCTATCAACTCCAGGGACATCTAATAGTTTGAGGGGGCATTATGAGGGTAAATATCACAGGTGCGGTGATCACAATCCAGGGACAGGTTACAGCATTTAAACACAGGATTTATGGTCAAGGGGGTTGTTTTTGAATCATCTGTCTGCAGGAGACAGGTGGCCTGAAGAGATTCAAAGGACAAGCCCAGGTGAGATGGCTTTTTCCTGTGCTGATAGGAGCCCTTGAAAAGCCCCTGCTTTAGTTACCTGAGGGGCACGGCCTCGCTTCCGGTCTTGCAGCTCTCCCTGAATCTTCTCAATCAAGGGGATGGCAAAGGAGAAAGTCTTCCCAGTTCCTGTACGTGCCTGTGCAATTAAATCCTTCCCGCTGTAGACATGATGAAATGTCTTCGCTTGGATAGGGAACAGGAAGTTCACCCCACGGGCTGTGAACAAATTAACCTGGTTATTTGACACAGCGATTGGTGAAACAGCAGCCAGTGGAGGCAGCGAAGGTGCCCATGTTTCTGACTGCAGATGAAGAATTTCACTTTCTGGCCATAGTGAGTTCTACAAAGTCAGACCAATTGTCAGGCACAAAATTATGCTAACTATTTGTCATTTTAAGAACCACCTGCTATAAAATCTTACTCATGTTGCAATGAAATCAGGTGCTTTGCTATCTGAACTGTGCTGCCGACCAAGACAGGTTGTGGTCAATAGCAGCTTGTTGGTTTGAACTACCAATCTTCAGGTCAGCGGCTGAGATACTTAGCCACTAAGCCCTTGTAGTTGAGCATCTGTGACTAGCTAGCATACAGGGAGATTGCTAAGTTCTCAAGGCAGCATCAGTAGCCTAGAGATACCCTTGAAGTGGCGGAGAAGAGATAGGAAAGAGAACACTAACATGGCATCAATCAATCATTTCATTTCACCAGTCACTAGACCTCAAAATCTACTCACTATGTTGAACACACGTGATGTCTTTTCTGTAAGAATAAAGATGCTTAAAACAGACTAAAAATAAATAAATAAAGACGAGTTCTATACAGAATATGTAGGCCTAGCTTACTGTATGGCTGCTTAAAAATATGTCCTGGTTCATCGCATCAAAATTAACTACAGATATTGTACTTTCAAGAATATTACCTTTGAGCAGTTTAATGGTCGCTTCAGATATGGGAAAATTAGAGAAGGCGCCTTCTTTTTGTTCTACTGGTACTTCCTATCAAGTAAAAGGTCAGAACATTAGTAATAAGATCTCGACCACTTTGCCCCTACAAGTTAATAACTACAGAGAAGTCTAAGGTACAGGTGAAAAAAACCAATTCTAAAAAAAATCCCTTCTAGATATATTAATTTTCAAATCAACCAAAAAGACACAAAAGCCTTGATAAATCAAGATCAGAAAAGAAAATAGAATAACCTATGAAACCTAACAAAAGAAAAAACCTGCAGCAAATAAATAGCACATATACATTATGTCGGGCGGACAAAAGTAGTTCCGTCCCAACTAAGAACTATGCCACAGCCACCGTCATTAGCTCCCTTTCTATAGTAGAGCCTCTCCGAGTGGTCTACAGGGAACAAACATTTATGCACAAAAATGGTCATGATAGTGCGCTCTAACAATGGAAAACTGGAGTGCCCAACAGGGGAGAAATTAAATAGCCAAATTTCTACACATGGCTTTGAAGGATTACGGTACATAACTATTAAGAACCTTACTAATAATAAGGAAAATGCTACGTAAAAGTGGAAAATGCAGGATACAATTCAGATTTTTAAATTACAAAAGAAAACAAACCAAAACACACCACATCCCTTGGCCCCTTTTCCAAGGACAGCAAAGTCTAAGACAGGAAAACTGCCTCAGTGGCATTTCGGGGCAATCGACCTTTACAGAAGCAGACTGCCACATCTTTCTCCTGCCAAGCGGCTGGTAAGCCCTTTCGGGTAGCAGCTGAGTGCTAACTACGGGGCCACCAGGGCTCCTCAGCTGTATACAAAAGCAAGCACAAAAATTACCAGGTTGTTTACCTTGGTACCTCCAAAGTACTTAATGAAGCAGGTTGTTTTTTTTTTGGGGGGGGACCCTAAGAGGGGGTGGCAATGTGCAAATATAATCAGAGAGGAAATTGTAAAATGCCAATCAGATTTACAGCAAGTAGAAAATTAGTTCTTAGAATAGAAAATTGTTTATTAGGATTATTTTTGGTTGATGACTGAATTTCTGAAAAGTAATAGAATTAGCCTCCAAGTTGGAATGAAGTTTACTCATCCTGTTCCAACTCAGGTTTTAATGGTTTGGACAAAAGTAGTTCTGCAATCCAGCAAATAGCCTTTTTCATGGACTCTCTCCCCATCATGTCATATCGTGGTAAAGCCAGGAAGATGGGCCCCGTTCATGCCCTGCATCTCTGTTGATTCACAAGGAAGCAAAGCGCAGAGAGAGGATTTACCACAAGCTTTTAACAGATCCACTTCTTTACAAAGGAGGCATTCTGAAACTATGCAATTAAATTCTCACCCTGGAACATCAGGGTCCCTTTGCAAATGCTGACAGAACGTATTTCCTACTACTTATGAAACAGAATGGGTAGGGATTACAAAAGTGAAAAATACCTGCTAGCTACTAAAATCAAACGTTACCTGTTCTAACTCACTGCTGCTTTCTTCGCTGGCAGACTCCTTGCCGTTAGAGGAGGGTCCAAGTCCGTTCTTCAGCTGGGGTCTTTTCTCTCCGATGTCTCCATTCATTTCCTTTTCTTTCTTCATCTTCTTGGGCTTAGGCGCTTCCACCTCTTCTTCTTCAGAAAACTCCTCGTTCTTTATTGATTTTTTTGTTTTGGGAGAAACAACTGGATTTTCAGTGGGTTCCTTTTTCTTCTTCACACTTCTGGTTTTAGGAGAAGTCACATCATCTTGGGACTGTGCCTCTTTCTTTTTCACCTTTTTAGACTTAGGAGAATTCACTTCAACTTCTGCAGGCTCAGCTTTCTTTTTCACTTTTTTAGCTTTGGGGGAAACTGTTTCCTCCACTTCTACTGACTCTTCAATCTTCTTTGACTTTAGCTTCTCTTTGTTAGCTTTCTAAAAAATGAACAAAAAATACAAACATTGAAGAAGCAGACACGCATCTTTATAAGCATAAATTCTGGATTACTTCAAGATGACTTAAATAATTACAAAGAGAAGGGAGGGGGAAAATGAGCAACTGATATTAAAGGCTAAAGTAGAAGGCAAATGTTTTGTACACATGTGCTTGACACAATGGATGTATGCATGGACGTGATAAGAATTGTACGAGCCCCCAATAAAATAATTTAAAAAATAATAATAATAATTACAAAGAACAAAAGAGGTTTGTTTTTTGGTGGTATTTCAGTATATCCACTTTCACCTTCCTAAGGCAAAAATCAAACTTGGTATGGTTTTTAATACCACTTCTTAGCTATCTAAAAACAATGCTCCATTAAGTTTTATTAACTTAGGAGATCAAGAGTACCCCTTAGTAACTATTCATGGTGGTTGATCAAGTTATCTGTAAATCAAACACTTCTAAGAGATTTGGGATGCTCCAATAGGCCCCAAACCAAACACTATAGAAAGTGATCAGGTACCATTCAAATAGCAATAGAATAATACGTTTCTAACTTGCCTACAGATGGATGATATTAAACAGATTTATTTTCTTTCTATCCACTAGAATTCCTCTTTGGGGATAACAGGGATTCATAATACCTGCCATGCTTGCCTATTTTAAACTCAAATGAGCTTACATGCAAATACTCATGAATCCAAAAGTTCTAGAAACCCTACAACCTGTTGCACTGTGAATAAAGACGATGGACCCAAATTAAAGTAATACAAGACAAACCAGAAACAAGCAAGCACAAGTTACAAGAGAGTGGGAGAAAGGGGGAAACTAGTCCCCAACCAGCTGTATATGCGGCTATGGCTGATGGGAAGTCCACCCTATCCAACCTTTCACGTGGTTGACAAGGTATCAATGGCTGGAAGGTGCTGCACCTCAGTTAGCATTTCTCTGGCAGAACCCAGGCCCTCAAAGCAGGTGCACTACTATAATGAGCTGAAACCTTCCCTCTGATACTCTGGGTATAGGGTTCTAGGCCTCGACCCTGCTCTAGAATCATGGTCTGAGGTTAATCTCTCTCCCATGACTGTTCTCCAGTCTTTTCATCTCACCAAAAATGGTGGCTTTCGGAAGATAAAGTCCTTCTTTAATTCTAACATCCCACAAAGGAACCTACTGACTTTACAGAGTAAGCAAGCCCCAACCACTACCTCTCTCTCACTTATGGGAGCGGGGGTGTTTCTGTTCCCTTGGCTTCAAACAATGCTAAATGCTGCCACTCTCAGGGCTCCACATCAAAAATTTTTTAAAGACCCAGAAGCAACTGGGCATAGATTATAAATCACGCACAAAGCAAGCTCGGAGGTAATCTGTCTCAGAACAGTGACTTAGTGGGTCACAAACATCAAAGCAGTGTATGAGAATCAACACCCCAAAAGCCAAGCGCCCACTGCTGGCTTCTATAAAGGCATGGTATGATGGTGTGCAGTTAGCTCCGTGTTGTTAAACGGAAAAACTATTCCATAAATCAAATCTTGGGAGAAATGAACCCTGTCTTCAAAGGGTTGCTTCTCAGAAAACAAAGGGAGAACGTGCCACTGCAGTTGCAGCCCGCATCTGTGACCCGCAAGTCTTCAAAGACGTCTCCCCACGGGTGTGGGTAAGTTTAGGCTACCATCCATCAGTCCTGAAGGAGTCTGAGTGGCTACTATAAAAGTGCGCAGTTCGACCCCACCAGCTGCTCTGCCCCGAAGAGATGGCAGTCCGCTTCTCTGCCCGCTGGGAGTCTCAATGCCTCCGCGGCAGTAAATTGGTTTTAGTGGGTTAGTTCCTACTTCTTCGACTTAATCTA